TAACACAATACATATTGAAACAAGACACCTGCATAAGAAAAGCCATTACACCCCATGAAAGACTCACAGCAACTCTCAGATATCTTGCAACAGGACGCAGCCTCAAGGACTTGGAGTTCACAACCATAATATACAAATCAGCATTAAGCCAAATAATTCCTAATTAGAGACTTGAATCAGAAAAAGTTGTGACGTAATCGACTAACGAAGAAGTGGTAACTGGCCTTCCCACTTCTGTCAATACTGATGAGGGCTGAGGAAAGTCATATATGCCAGGAAGATGTGCAAGTTGTTCCATACCAGGTTGGTGCGCAACTTGTTTTAGGAGTTGTAAAAACTGAGGCCACATTGTTTGGCCATAATAAGGTGGGTAGGATTCCCCCACAGACTGTATTTCTTCCTGTCCTGTAACTTTCAATTTGCAGTTAGCATTAAGAGGTTCCATTTCTTCTTCGAATAGTACGTCACTAATAAGCTTTTGGACGATGTGTTTTCCATATGTGTCAAACGTATCACTGGTGGTGATGAAATTCGATTTTTGTTCAGCCTTTGGGAGAAAATATGGGTGCATTGCCGCAAATCTGACATTATTAGGTTTTTTTTTGGAAAAAATAAAGCGAACTGCAGTAAAGCTACTCAACTGAGTCAAGATTGCACCCCTTAGTAATAAAAAACCAGTTTTAGAAAGTAATTGTCCAGTTGCAGATGCACAGGTTAAGTGAGGTGCCCTTTGTTGTATATAAACGAGTTTTAGCTCAGGTTGCTACTGTTATACAGCTATAACTTTTTTTCTATTTCTAATTTCCTAATAAAATTTTAGGACAATATTTTCTTGGAATGTTTTTACACAAAAAAAAAACAAAAATCGATTTTTTTTTATTTAGAAAGTAAAAATCCTTTAAAGACAGATTATCAATCGCATTATTTGCATTTGTTGATCTCTGTTATATTTTATCGGCACACTTGCTGGTATAACAGATGCCAGGTGCATAAATTGCTAGATAAGTGATAATTTAATTTTTAATCTAAATTTTCTTATCTATTATCACAAACTTTGAGTATCAACATTTATGTAACTTATCCTACAAGGTGCTCTACTGAAATTGAGAGTAGAAATAAATGTGTGTCATTAATTGAGTTTCTATTTCAAGATGCTATCCATAAATATCATTTTTTTTTTAAACTAGTGAAGTATTTTGAAAAAGCAATTTATCAATTTTTAAAGAGATAAAATACAGTTTTTCTGAGATAAAAAGGGAAATAATGAATCTGCAAGTTACCATCGTAAGCGGAAATAAAAAAAATAGGACTGATCGATTAAACACTTCTACTATTGGAAAAGTCATCTGCTATCTATTTGGTCAATATTTTGAAACATCGTCAATATATTTTCCATGTCAAAAATGTCAAGAAAATATTTCTGTTCCTGTAGCAAGGTTGCCATCAATTTAGATATTGTTAAATTCATATTTTTTAAAGCTTTATAAAAGAATTGGTAATACTATCACAGAATATTGTCAATAAAATTCAGAAATTTACACACTCACTAGAACTCACACACAATTTTTATGCATGGGGTCTGAAAACAAAATGTCTGGTCTCTCTGATTTGTTTTTGTCTTTTATGCGAAAAACACTATGATTTTTATATTCTTCCATTACTGTTTATTTTGTGTGTAGGATGAATATTCCATTACGTAACTAAGGAAAAGTCCAATTAGAAAGAATTTTCTAACAAACATTTATTTGAACCTATTCAAATCAATGAAATCTTTTATATAGTAGTGACAGTGCTATATTTGATGGAGGAGTACTGAGTGAAATCAAGGAAAGGAAAAAAACATAAACAGGGCAAAAAAGCAATCCAGACTATGCCGAATATAACATTGAACTATAGCATCCCAACAGCTTAGCTGAGCTGTCAAATGCACAAGTCTAAGAAAAATGCATTAAGGAAATGAATAAAGCTAAAACAACTGATACATTCCTATAACTGTACAATTTTTACTGGATATCATCAAAGCTGATCCACCTGTAGCTTCTAACATTAATTTTAGATATAGTGATCAAAACAGTTAAAAAATAAGGTCTGTATGCTAATTAGAATGGATCTAGTTATGAAAAGATAAATGTGTCGCCTGAAACTATCATATGTAATGATACAAAGCAGAAGAAATTCACTAAAATTGATGATCACCAAATCATTTGAGAATATGGGTGAATTTGATTTGATAGATGACCTATTTTATAGATATCACTTTCACATTTTGAAATAGCCACCACAAATGGATTTATTTTATACAAACATAAGCATGCTGAGGAAGCAAACACTTTCAATAATTAAAATACTGAACTTGTTGCCTTCCAATGAAAAATGATCAAAATTGAGCACATGCATCACAAAAAACAATACAAAAAGAAACTGAAACTAAATAACTAGGAACAAAAGGAAAAGGAATTACAAGAAGCAGTTGCGGTAAGGTGCCTTTTTCTCTATTATGAGCTAAATAAAACATTTCAGGTAGGTAGATAAATCGAAGTCCTCAAGTAGCTATTATAGCATAAAAAGTTCTCTGAATTGTGCGAAGATATGCAAAAATGGTAATGGTAAATACTCAAAAGATTCAGTTTTGCATATTCTGAGCAGCTGCCTATTCCATTGTTTACACACAAGAGACAGCTCATAGGCACAACCAACATACACATTCTGTATGACACATATTTATGAAAAGGTTTATTATCTTTGGAGTACTTAGGATATTATACAAGGTTCAAGAATTGATCACAACATTGATATGTTTTAATAATGGTAGTGATAAGAGATAACTCTGGAATTTAAGCTAGTGAATGAATACAGAACAAAATGGATATGCCATATAAATAGAATGGATAAAAGTCAAGCAAATAAATAAATACTTATTTAGAAATTGAAAAGCAGAAGGTTACCACCAAATGATAAAGCTATGTTTACAAAAAAAAAACAAGAAAGTCTAAACCCTGGAATGAAGAAATTTGAGATGTATGAGATGATATAGCACTTCAACCTACTAGCACTTATCATTAATTTATTAATAACAGTTGAATAGCAATATTGAATAAAACCTGATATCTTCTGTAAATATTTGCAAATTATCCAAAAAATAAATGCCCTTTGGATAGTATTAATATTTTGTTTGATACAATTTTAAAAATGTCTTGCTATAAATTTGTGGTTAGTACAGATAGTGCAAGCACTCCTGACCATGGTAGACAAAATTTGTTCTAGTCCCCACTTCCATGTGAAACGCATTGTACTGTGCACTGTATAATTCCTCTTACAACAGAACCTTTCTGTCCTTGCATGAATTTTGAATTTTTGTCCGTCTTTGCGTAGCTCCATGGTCAGGGGTGTTTGCACTATTTTTAAATATAATACCAACTTTTCATTTAGTTAATTCGAATTAGCTGCGAATCTTTCTGATGAACCCCTTATGAAACGATTACTAAAAACCTAAAATGTATGCCTGCACTAATTTAATAGAACAAATGAGGGCAAGTATAAAATTATTTATTATTTATTAATTGGCGATAGAACAAAAAAAACTCAAAAAATATTGTTGTCATATTTTAGTGAATTTTCAATGAAATTTTACTATTTTGTGGGCAAAATAAATCATCTATCCTTGCATTCAAGAGCTTTTTGGGAAACATGTTTTTTCCATCCTATATACCCCATTGAAGACTCTCTAGGCAGACATACTGAGATACAGATGGTTTCTTTATATTATATATTTTATAATTGTATCTAATTTGTCACCTGTTGTTCTCATTTATAGGGCCTAGTATTCGTCTCAGTACCTTTCTTCCAAAGATGTCTATGTGGTATATATTTTTGAGTTAACACCCAAGTTTCACATCTATAGCTCACTATTGGTTGGATTATAGTCTTGTAGATTCATATCTTAGTTCTTTGATATATATCTATTTATTTAAATATAGGGCTCATAGCAAAATATGCCGTATTGGCTAGGATGATTCTTCTGCTAAGCTCTGCATCATCAATGTTTTTCTGATGTTGACTCCTAAATTTTGGGGACTCACACTGAGGATTTCTTTTTGTTTATGTCCAAATAGGACAGACCTATTTGTTTAGATGTGGTTTAAGTTTCATATAAATACTCTCACCTGTTGCTTTGGTTCTGCTCATGATATTTATCAAAATAAATCATGGACATTTTAAAGTAAATCTGAGCCAGCAAGTAGATAGGCTTTTGCGTTAGAATGATAAACTATTATTTTAAAATATTGCCTTACATATCGTTACATATTACTTATACTTATTCAGCATGACATACAATTTTTGAAGATATCGCACATTTCAAATGTGATAAGAGGTTAAAAAAATAAAAATCCAGTTGACATGAAAAAAAAAATAGGATAAAATCATATCAAAGTATAAATTTCGGAAATTGAAGGCGACCACCTTGTATCTGATAAACTATTACAAATTTAAATTCAAGACTCATTGTAGATAATGAATTCCTTTCATTTCACATATAAAATTTAACACCGAAATTTCAATTGCTATTTAAAATTCAGAAATTCAGAATTATGTACTAAAATCTAATGTGATTACTATTACTTAGTATGGAATTTTTTTGACTATTAGGAACCTTGGACAATTTGTACTTATAAAATCGCAATACAATGACGATGTTACTACAAAACATAAATGTAATGTAGTTGCCGTTTTAATCATTCACATTAATAATATCGGCTTATCATATATTATAATTTAAGAAATATTGAAGGAAGACAAGCACTCTATAATTAACTTAATTGTACGTAATAGCGTAATACTGATAAAGTTTATCCAAGGATTGTGTTAATATAATGGGTAGAAGAACATTTATTGATATAATTTGAAGTAGAAAATTGCCTTTAAATGTTTGGATACATTACAATGATATAGCAAATTTAGTAAAGTCATTAAATGCTATTATTAAATAATACATTACTTACCTCATTCAAAAACGGAGTCACATCATAAACATTGTTGTGTATAACTATCCATGTACTTTTATTATCATTGTGTTTTTTAACATCAGCCAAAGAGTATTGTGTGGTCATATTTCTTTTTAATACTAGAAAGCACCGTACCGCTAACACCTAAGTTGATAAAATGCTTAAACAAATCAATGGATTTAATTTTATGATAAGTCGAAACCTTGATCTATGACCGATGACGACGTTTTTCTACGATCACGATCAGACACGAGACACGATCACCGATCATCCATCAATCAACCTTTGCGCTTTTGGTTTCAGGTCTACCAACATAGACGAGAATTAATTCAAAATCGTAGGCATGTTCCATACGAATATACAAGATGCAAAACAAAAAATTTAATTTTAAATATCAAATTAAAAAGAGATTATTAAAAAGTAATTATTGCAAAAACTTAAATTTTAACGATAGATATTTTGACATACTGAAGAAACATATATACAAGATTCAATTATTTTAAATGTTTAATACCAAAAAGATTTAAAAAGTAAGTTGCCACAAATAGGAATATTTCAATTTAAAATTAAAACTAGTTTTACACTTAAATAAAATCAAGTATTGTCGATTTAAATCTGAATAAATCAATAATTGGATGATCATTTGATAAACCATTGATTGAGTCATAGAATAATAAACAATTGTATTGAGTAGTTCATAATACGATTGTTACAGATTTTTAATATGTATAAATACAGACAGAAAGGGTAAATAGACTATTGCTTACAAGATACTTTATGTTTAATATCTTAAAAAACAGTAGCCACAGGTGTTTTTGAAATGTTTAGGTTGGTACTTAAACCTGAAATTATTCTATTAAACTCAATACAATTTTATGTAAGCATTGTTTTAGGGGAAATAATTTTATGGTATGTTTTACTTTTTATATTGTATTTCATTAATATGATTTCTCAAGAAAAATTGCAAATTCTGATAAACTTATGTATGTGATTTCAACATTCATGTATCTGACGTCGTCAAAAGGAAGTAATATATCTGTCAAATCGTCATTTCCCTTTGTCAATTGTCAGGTAGTTCTTTTTACAGCGTGTTATGGTGGAGTAGTCGGTATGTATTTGATTAAATCTTAATTTGTTTAATATTAGTAGTTAAATATTAAGCTATTGTTATATTTTGTTATATATTTGACTATTAGGTAATTCTTTAATAGATTACTGTATTCATTTTGAAGCCTTTTGCTTTGAAAAAGTGCTTAATAAATTTGCACATGGTTTCACAATATGATTATTTTTGTGTTTGAGTTTTCGAAATAACGCACCTATATTTAGTGAAATTTTTATAAACTCTGTGAATATGACTATTGTAGTCAATCTTAACCTATAGTTTTGAGGTAAGTTGAAAATCTTAAATATTTTTGGTTATAGTCATATTCAGAGAGTGAATATGACTATAATTCCTAAATGATCAATTCTGTATTTCTTTTGGTTGCAGATTCTCTCCATAATGCCGCAGAACGAGTATATTGAGCGCCATCGCAAGTTGTATGGTCGCAGACTTGATTATGAAGAAAGAAAAAGAAAGAAGGAGGCCAGAGAGCCCCACAAAAGAGCGCAAGTAGCCCGAAGTCTTCGCGGTATTAAAGCCAAGATCTTTAACAAAGAACGCAGAAATGAAAAGATTCAGATGAAAAAGAAAATCAAGGCTCATGAAGAGAAGAAAATCAAGAAAACGACAGAAAAGGTCTCTGAGGGTGCCTTGCCTGTTTATTTATTGGACCGTGATGTACAATCTAGAGCTAAAGTTTTGTCTAATATGATTAAACAAAAACGTAAAGAGAAAGCTGGTAAATGGGATGTGCCGATTCCAAAAGTGAGGGCCCAAGCAGATGCTGAGGTATTAAAAGTCATTAAATCTGGAAAAACTAAAAGGAAAGCGTGGAAGAGAATGGTAACTAAAGTTACATTTGTTGGAGAGGGATTCACGAGGAAGCCTCCAAAATTCGAAAGATTCATCAGACCAATGGCACTTCGATTCAAGAAGGCTCATGTTACTCATCCAGAACTTAAAGCAACCTTCTGTTTACCTATCATCGATGTTAAGAAGAATCCTAGTTCACCGATGTTCACAAGTTTAGGTGTTATTACTAAGGGTACAGTTATAGAAGTCAATATTTCAGAATTGGGTTTAGTTACTCAAGCTGGTAAAGTTGTATGGGGAAAATACGCCCAGGTTACCAACAATCCAGAAAATGATGGATGTATTAATGCTGTGCTTTTAGTTTAAGACTTTTCTTGTAGGTTAGGTGTGGTTTATAATAAAAATTTATATTTTTTAAACTTATTTTATTTCATTTGAGCCTTATCGACAACAAAAATGATTTTTAGAGCAAAAGTAAGTAGAAAAGGATATATATGCTTTATTTAAATTATATTATATATCGTTTATATAGAATAGGGAGTTCATATGTAGCAATATATTGTAATGTTTCAATTGTGGAACTTTTCAGTTCGTGTAAAGCTTTTGACTTCTTTTTTTTTTTCAAAGATTAGTATCACAATAAAAAAATAAATATCTATTAAATATTTTGCAACCAACACCATTGTTGAAGTACATAACAATGATATTGTGACAAAGGCTTTTGATTTGAAGAAAACATGTAACAAGGACATACTTTTTCAATTTTGTGGTATTCTTTATTTAATGGATGACAAAATTAACTGTTTCGTAATGGTTCAGTTACAAAATCCTATGTACTGTTCTATTCATTTTTATTCAAATATTCATTGTTATACTAAAGCAACTGTGTAATAGTATTGTAAGTAATAGTATAGTCTTTTCTTCAGTTTTAAATCTTTTTTATCTCTTGAGTAATTTATAAGTTTTATAGTGCCCTGTCCATTCATGTTTTCTCTCTCTCTCAAATGGTGCTACAGCCCAAATGGAGCCTTGGCCTCCTCTAAACTATGACCCTTTCAGGTCCCTAGCTGATCTTCAGGTTCTCATGTCGAGCGAAATTTTGCACATCTACTGCTACTTCATCCTCCTACCTTTTCTGTGTCCTTCCTTTTGGTCTTGTCCCCTGAATTGTACTTTATAAGGTCCTTTTGACAATCTTTTGGTCTCAAGACTCACTACATGACCATCCTATTGTAGTCTCTTGAAGTTTTATTAAACAGTTCAATTATCTTAGGACAGGCATGGGTGAGTGAAAAGTAGGCTTTGTTTCCCTTTAATATTCCACTTTGCATTTCTGGTTCTTCTGTTCCATCTATATTTAATGCAACTCCCCAATATGTGAAACTTTCTACAGTTTTCAATTCTGCATCCTCGTAATTCAACTGTGTTCCACATAGCTCTTGCCTGTCTTAAATATATGTATTAGTCTATATAATTATTTTGATTTTTAACTTAGTTTTTCTATTTCAAATATTTACAATATATGTATTCTTTCGTAGACTGAATTGCTAATTTTCATAATCCAATTGATGTTTCATCTTGCCATTCTTGAAGTGTTTTGCCATTCCTGATAGTATACCAATTAAATTCTTATAGTATACCAGTGTTATTTAATTATTATTTGCATAAATTCAAATCAGGTGATTCTGTGTGATATGTTTCATTAAGTATGTTTGAAATTAAAAAAATAATTGGAGCTTGTCAACAAAAACTTTTATTTCAAATTTAAGAAAATGCTAATACAACAAAAGAAGTAGTACCTAGCTTCTTCTAGAAGTAGTACCTAGCTTTTTCAGGGGTTCCACAAGGTTCTAATCTAGGTCCATTATTGTTCTTGTTATTTATTAACGATCTGTGTGAATCAATTTCTGCACCATGTTTATGTTATGCCAATGATTTAAAGATTTATTCATTGATAAGCGACCTTAATGATTGTCATTTTTTAATTGTCAAATTTTATGGATTCATAATTAGAAATAGTTGAAATCTCACTAATATTAAGGCAATTAAATTACTTTATTACACTTTTGTACGCTGTAAACTGGATATGCTTCTGTCATTTGGTCACCTTTTTATGATGTACACATCCAAATTATAGAGCATATGCAGCGTAAATTTTTAAAATTTTTGTCTTTCAAAATTAACGCGGCATATATCCCAGGAGGGGCATCGGCAATAGCGAGTTGTGTAGCGGTTTGGATGTAGTATAATTAGAATCTAGACGAATTAATGCCTCCCTAATATTCCTGTACAAGCTATTACATAATCTCATTGACTGCCCTGATATTCTTCGTCAAATAAATTTTAATGTTCCATCTTATCCAGTGAGAAATTGTGTGTGTGTGTGTGTGTTTTATTGGCACTGGTTTTGACAACCAACTGGCCAGTCAATTTGTTTTAAGTTCTCTCTTTACAAAAGATATTGTTAGTATTTACATTTAGAACTATTGTATTGTATTGACAGTTAAAACATGGAATGTTAGAAACTTATTTACTAGATTACTCTGATTTTGCTGTTTTGTTTTTTGTATCTTTTTTTTTATTTTTTATTTTTTTTTTATTTATTTTTTTTTTATTTTTTTTTATTTATTTTTTTTATTACTACGCTAAGACATAAACCCGATTCGACACCTCGGAGGTTTAGATCTTCTTAGTATTTTTTTTATTTTGTTCTTCATTTTTTTTATTCTTTTTTATTTTTTTTTATCAGAGCTTTAATTTTAAACAATTAATATGACTATATAAAATTTTATATACATCTAGATTTTTTGACTCTAAAAGATGTGTTAGATTAAAAGGTAATTGAACATTAACTTGAACTAGCTTGGTAAAAAAATTTGATATTTCAATAAAATGTAAAGGACATTCTAACAGCATATGTTGTAGATCAGCTAGCTCTCCACATATACATTCATTATTATTTGCCAGTCCCATTTTTCTTTTATAGACTGGAGTCATACAATGATTGCTTCTTATTCTACAAATAGTTTTGATGAAGCCTCTGTTGGAAACTTGTTTAAACCATGTCTTGACGGAAATTTTGGGTTGGATTATTTTATAAAATTTGCCTTTGTCCGAATTGTTGTAGTGTCCCTGCCATTTGGTCCGTTTAAGAGACCTGATTACAGATATTAAATCTCCCATAGGAAGTTGATAGGTTTGAAGAGTGGATTCTTTCATTGTTGCTTTTTTTGCCAGATCATCTACTATTTCGTTGTTTTTTATACCAATATGTGCTTTTATCCAGCACAATATGATATTTTTGCCCGATTTCAAAGCTTCACTGTTCAGTGCTATAATGTCACTGATGATATAATTGTCTACAAAAGTATGAAAATTATATTTCAGTTTATGTACAATGCTTTGGCAGTCTGTAAATATAACATAGTTTAGTTCTTTTTGATTCATACATATTTTGTAGGCTTCTTTGACTGCTATGAGTTCAGCTGTGAAAGTTGTCATTTTGTCGGGTAATCTGTTGTTTATCTTTATACTTTTTTGGGGTAGAATATAGCATATCCAACTTTGCCGTCCATTTTTGAACCATCTGTATATAATTTTTGATAACTTCCCCAATGACTTTGTACATACTGAAGGTGATCTATTTTAGTAAGAAAATCTGTGGCAAGAATATTACTTAAATGGCAGTTAAATGGAGATAAATAATCTTCATAGTTTAATTTTCGAGATGAGGGTTGTTCCATTTTGCATATGTCGTCAATATAACAAGAAACGTTGAGAAAACTTTCCACAACTAAAAGCTGCTTCTTTTTTTCCCAGTAATGATGAGTTAGGTATGTAGTGGTTAATTGTACAATTTTATTTAACAACAGTTTATTGTTAACTGCCACTTTAACTATAAATTTTTCACTTAAGAATTCTCTGCGTAATGAAAGTGGAGGTTCATTAAGCTCACATTCCATGACCAATATGGGAGTACTACGAAGATAACCAGTGCTTAATCTAAGTGCCTTATTTTTTATACTTTCGATTTTTTGGAGTACAGCGTTTGATGCTGAGCCATAAAATATAGATCCGTAATCTAGGATCGATCTCATTAAATTTCTGTATAGTAATATTGAGATGTTTGGATCAGCTCCCCAGTTACTGACATTTACAGTCTTGATGATATTCATTGCGTTTTCCGTTCTTCTTAATATATAATTCGTGTGTTCTTTCCAATTCAATTTTGAGTCTAAGAACACGCCAAGGAATTTTATTGAAGTTTTATAATTAATTTTATAATTATCAAATTGTAGGTGGTTTGGGGGAGAATAACGTTTTCTGGTAAAAGTAACAATGGTTGATTTACTCTCCGAGATTGTTAAATTCTTATCCGCCGCCCATTTTTTTATAATATTCAATCCTGATTTAAGGTTTTCATTACATTTATCTATTGACTTATTTTCTACATAGATTGCAACATCATCAGCATACTGTAAGATTTTTATGTGTCGAGGAAGTTTATTTTCTAAATCAGCAGTATACAGAATATATAATAGAGGACTCAAGATGCTACCTTGTGGTAGTCCTAAAGATGTGTACCGTGTGTTAGATTTATCACCATTTAATCTAACGTGTACTGATCGATTAATATACAAATTAATGATATTCCATGTTACAGTTTCAGGTATTCCTATTTCCAACATTTTCGCATATAGAATGTGAAGATTAACATTGTCATAAGCCCCTTTTATATCTAAAAACAAAGCACTAACTGCTTTCTTACAAGTAAATGAACTATAAATGTCTATCAATAAGTGACTCAGGCTTTCTTGTGTGGATTTACCTTTTCTAAAACCAAACTGAGTTTTTGGTAATAGGTCGTTCTTTTCTAACCAAAATTCCAGACGGTTTTTAATAAGTCTTTCATATGTTTTAAGTATACATGACGCCAGCCCTATTGGACGGTAAGAATCCCAATTATTTAACGATTTTCCGGGTTTCAAGATCGGAAGAATAGTATAAACGTGCCAATCGTCAGGAATCTTTATGCGCCGTGACCAAATTTCATTGTATATATTCAGAAGCACAGTCTTACCAATTTTTGAAAGATTTGATAGCATCGAGTAATGGATTTCATCAGCACCTGGTGCTGAATTTGAATTTTTCTTTAACGAAAAGTAAAGTTCAGTGTCAGAAAATGGTTTGATTAAGAAGCGGATTTGTTCTGGATAATCGTATTGCGCATTCAGTTGTAGATCAGGAATTACTAATTCTGCAGACAGTGGAGTGATATTTTGGTGGAACTCGTCTATCCATGAAGCTTCCGACAATATTATAGGGACTTTGTTCTTAGTTTTTCTATTTTTTAGTCTATTAACTTTTGACCATACATCTTTAATGGGAACCGACCTATTTAAGGACTTGACATAATCTCTCCAGCTATTTCTTTTAGCTTGTTTAGTGATCTTCTTCGCGTGGGCATCATCTTTTTTATACTTGAGTAGGTTTTCTTGGTTTGGATTATCTTTGAATATACAAAAACTTTCCCGTCTTCTTCTGACTGCTTCCTCACATTCTAAATCCCACCAGTATTTTCCTCTGGAAGTTGGTTTTTTATTTTAAATTTGGGGATGCTGTAGGATGCAGTTATATTTATATTGTGCAAAAATTTTTCATATGAATTTATATCTTCAGATTGAGAGAAGATATCTTCCGAAAATTGTTCATATAATTTCCAGTCGGCTTTCTTTAAATTCCACTTTTCTGAATACGGGTTATATATATGAGTTGGTTGATCCGCTAATTCCATCTTTATAGGAGCATGGTCTGAACCGAATAGGTCTTGAAGTGTTTTCCAAGTGATCAGATGACTTAAGTCAGGAGTACAAATCGTCAGATCTATTGCCGATTTCGAAAAGTTTCTAAAGAAAGTAGGAGAGCCATCGTTTTTGTATATCAAATTATTATCATCTATACAGTCCATTAAGATTTTGCCTTTTATATCTGTATGATTGTCTAAGCCCCAGGCAATGTGATGAGCATTGAAGTCGCCTCCTATTATGAATGGTCTTTCTATAGATGTTATGAAATTGTTCCATTGTTGTAACGATAATTTTACTCCTGGGGGAACATACATCGAAATAAATGTTACAGTGAATGATTTAAACTTAATTTTAATGGCTACTTTATTGATGTTGAATAATTTGACTTTCATGGTGACTTCCTCATAATACAGATTTGAGTTTATTAAAATTGCCGAGCCACCACCGACAGTTGCTGAAAAGCGGTCGTCTCTGACAATATTATATCCGTGAAAGTTAATATAATTTTCTGGTTTAAATCTAGTTTCTGATAATAATGCGATATCAACTTTCTGGTCTTCTAGTAGGTGAAGGAGATTTTCTCTATTAGAGTTAGCTGATCTACAATTCCATTGACAAATTACCAAACTATTCATTATTATATGAGAGAGAACTTAAAACTGTTTGAATTAAATTTATTAAAACTGATTTTTCTGGGATTTCAAAATTTTTGTGATTCATATTAGAAATAATACTTATAACTATATTTGATATTAACTCTGTTAATTCTTTAGGAGATTCATGTATTTTGGATCCTTGTTCTGCATTAAATGTAGATTGATAAGAAGATGAATTGAAAATGCCACCAGGTCTGTTGGACATGGGGTTTAACTTTATTATTTTTTGATGTTCTATTGCTATTGGGTCTTGCGATGAAGAGAGGGGTCGTTTGGATTTTGGAGGTTTTGTTATTGTATATCTGTTTGAAACTGTAGGGTGGGCGTGCTGGTTAGGGGGTGAGGGGAAGTGGACAATTGAGTAGAGGAATATGAAAAGGAAGGAGCGTTCATATTTGGGATTTGATGTGAATTTAATGAGGAATTATTAGCTGTTATTGATGCATAGGTTACTTTAGGAAATAATTTAAGCGTTTCTTTGAAAGACAAGCTGTTTTCAGACATGTAATGTTTTATTTTTTTTTGACGGTCAAATTCTGGACATAACTCCCATTCGTTAGTGAAGTGTTTACCTTCACAGGAGAGACATATTTTATTAAAAGATGATAAAGAACAAGAATCGGAAGGGTGGGACTCATGACATTTAAGACATCTAGGGTTGCTTTTACATTGCTTACTCATGTGTCCATACCTATAACAGTTGTAGCAAATAATTACTTTTTGCTGGTATTTTTCTACATCATGTAAAACATGGTTAATTACGATATATTTTGGTATGTTTTGACATTTAAATGACACAATTACCGATTTTGTAGGTTTAAAAACTACTTTATCATCTGTTACTATTTTTCTCTTTATTCTTTTTACATAATCCACCGAGAATTTACAATGATGATCAAATTCTTTTATTTTATCCTTAAGATATTCTTCCGATATATCTGATTCTATATCCCTAACTACACCTAATTTAAATAATTGAAATTTCGGAATATATGCAATTAGATTTTTTTGAATAAGCAATTTAGAAGTAATTAAGGTATTTGCACTAGCATAGTTTTTAAATGTTATTCTAATACGGTTGCGTCCAATTGAATCAATTTTTTTAATATAATTATCAATTTCCGGATGTACGGTAAATAATATTTCACCTATCTTAACTGCACTTAATTTGCCTGTAAAATTTTTATCACTGTTTTCAATAAAAATATGAAATGGCCCTAAATCAGTTTTTTCATATAAATATACAGGTCTGCTTTTTTCTGTCTCATTAGAATTTAGTGAGGTAATTTGTTTATCGGTTTTTAAATTAATAATATTATTAGGACTACTTATCGAGTTTTCTAGCTGATGGGATAAAAATCCATGGGAACCATAACTGCAATCATCCATCGCATCCTGATCCCTTGGCATTTTATCGGGGGGCTCGCCCCCGTTAGAAGACTCCATAAATGGAGCCTTCGACGACTAAACTAGTACTAATGTATATGTATTAAACTATGGTAATCAAATCTAACTGTTTAGCACTTCCTAAATCACAAAGATTCTCGGAGAACTTTAAAGTATAAATTAACTTAAGATTATATGTTAAACTATCTGAAATTAAACTTTAAAGTGCGGAGAACTATTAAATTCGTATTTACACTTTGACGTTTTGAGTGAGAAATTCGATTACGTTCAGAAATACACAAGCTAGAACTAATCTTATGTTAAATTCTCCTCTATTTCTCATGTGCAACTATTATAATTCCTTAAGTGCTTACTGCGATATATTTTACTGCAGTTTAAAGCAGCTTACTAGGATGGCTGAGATCTACCTAGGTGATTAAGTAGTTTCTTTATGTTAAGGTAAAATACTCGAAAAATGTGTTATTTAGTTAGTAGCTATGAATTATTAATATTTCATTTAACTTTAGTATTGTATTTTGTCCTATAAATGGATTCTGTTGGACAATAAACGCTATTATTATTATAAAAGAACACATTTAAGAGGGGCAACTGGTATTGCTACGCTAAATATTGTCATTCTTTGTTTATGCAGCTTTTGGTCTGCTTAAGGATCTTGTTAGTGATTATTTAACAACTCGTTTTACAACTGTTTAGATATTATAATTTGTTCTAAAAAAACAAATTTTATTTCTCTTGTGTTATTGGACTGTATAATTTTATTAATTTCTTTTATTTTTCTTATAGTTGACTCCCCAAAATGCAGATCTTCGTTAAAACCTTAACGGGTAAGACCATCACCCTCGAGGTCGAGCCCTCAGATACTATCGAAAATGTGAAAGCTAAAATCCAGGATAAAGAGGGAATCCCCCCAGACCAGCAACGTCTCATCTTCGCCGGTAAACAACTCGAAGATGGTCGTACATTGTCTGACTATAATATTCAGAAAGAATCAACCCTTCACTTGGTGTTGAGATTGAGAGGAGGTGCTAAGAAACGTAAGAAGAAGAATTACTCCACCCCCAAGAAAATCAAACACAAGAAGAAGAAGGTTAAGTTAGCTGTATTGAAATATTATAAGGTAAATACTTTTTTAAATAAGGTTTTAGCTACATTTAATATTTTCTTCCACTGTTGCCAGCCTTTTGCAGTTATCTCCAATTGTACTCCTATTTTGTGTAGATCAGTTGTTACTGCATCTTTCAATTCTCCCTGTTAGTGGAGGTGTGTGGTGAGTTGCCTACAAACTACATTAAAGCTAAAAGGTTGCAACATTTAAAATCTGTAATATGTCAAACATCATATTTCATTGTTTTCCTTAATTTTATAATCAGCATATGTATTTAATTTTATAATAAACTTGTCACATGAATACTTTTTAGCTTGTTGAAAATTTGAACCCTGTTGTTGCATTCTTTTAGCTTGAATGTAGAGTGTAGATAACTTCATTCAATAGGGCAAATATTTTTCTTAAGGATTAACTGATCTATCTTCAGACATTTCCGAAAATGTATTAATGCATCTTTCATCACTCAATCTTAATACATGTCCTGTCCATCTTATTTGGTTTGTCTTGTAGCATATGCTGTTCTCATCTCCATAGAGTGTCCGAGAGTTCCTCGTTATCTTCTTCCCCATTCCTTTTTTATCTAGTCCCTAAAGGCTCAAAGATAGTTTGTTGTATCTCCTTTGTAATATCAGTAGTTTTGATGTTTCACTATGGTTTTGTGTTGCATGTCTCTCTTCCAAATGTTATGAGTTCAAAGTTGTATTCATTAATGGATAGGTACATTTTGTCTTGGTCTTGGGTTCTTCATAACCACCATTTACTTGGTATTTTCTTCATTGATGTTAAGACCAATTTCCTTGGTCCCATTTTCTAATAGAGTGAGGACTTTCTTTGTAGCTCTGATGGATTGTGCAATGGTGTCCACATTGTCAAAAGAGCTGGTAGTAATTTTAATCAGTGGACAGCAAAGCTATTTGTCAGCTCTGGTTGTGCTTTTCTTACTGCATATTCTTGAACAAAGTGTAAGAGGATCTTTTGTCAATAAGAAATTCTTCTGAAGACTATTTCTTCTGTGGTAATTGTAATTGCTTTCCAAGGACTTACATTTCCACCACAGCCTCCTCAAAATCATAAACTTTCTTAAAATCCATGAAGATTTGATGTATGTCATAGTTATATTTCCAGTTCTTTTCCAACATCTTTCATATGACAAAGGCCTCATCTGTGGTTATTTTCTAGGTCTAAAGTCACAGGTTGCATAGGGAATTAATCTTAGTAATATTATAAATATTATTTTATATGTTGTATTAACTAAAGAAATTCCTCTATAACTGTTATTTTTCTATATATAGTAGTGTTTTTCTCCTTTTTTGTAGATTGACTATGAGTTTCATGCCAGTTTCAGCATTTCCTCTCTTTGTCAGATGTCCCTTGTGAGTTGAGATATATTTCCAGATGAAAATTTCCTTCCCCTTTTCGAAGTAATTCCGCCTGAGAAACTGGACAAAATTGTGGTTTTTGCTTCATTCAGTGTTTGTATTGTTATTTCTGGTTGGCTTTGTTAGGCTATTTCTGTTGGCTTGAAGCTTTGTTGTTGGTGGTTGTCATTGTTGATTTCTTAGTATTTAACAGCTACTTCAATAATTTTATCCATTGATGACTTTCTTCCCATCATCTGTAAGCAATTATCCTATCTCATCTTTTATAAATCTTAAGCTGTTGACCCTGTTGCCCTTTATTACTTTTAGCTCCCTGTAAAACTAACAAAATTTACTGGTTTTGTGTTTTTTCTTTTTTCTCAAGAGTTTGTTTGTGCTTTAATTGTACTGTCTCATTTCCTGTTCTCTTCTGTAGGTCTTAATAGTAACTCAAATCTTTTATTGGCTTTCTGTTTTGTTTGGCCCAGTTCAAACCATTCTTTTCTTGGTTATATATTTTGCAATTTCTGGTCATGGTCACTGTTTGGAATTTGTTTTGTATTTTTAATTGATATATCTGTTCATTATCGTGCAGATTGAGACTTTTAACATCCTATCTTTTACCAATTTTGCTCATATAAACAGTAGAGGTATTTCTAGGTAGTCACACTTTCATAAACAGTAGATATATCAACATTACATATGATACTTTCCCAATTATTTAGTGATCTAAATTTGACGCAATAAACGTTTTTTTGTATAAAAAAAAAAAAGATAAATATTTGATCTGATTGCTAATGAGTATTTTATATTAATTTCAGGTTGACGAAAATGGTAAAATCCACCGATTGAGACGTGAATGCACCGCTGAACAATGTGGAGCCGGTGTCTTCATGGCAGCCATGGAAGACAGGCATTATTGTGGCAAATGCGGTTACACTCTGGTCTTCTCGAAACCAGGAGACGAGAAGTAGATATATTTTCTTGTATATTGTTTAAGAAAAAAAATGTAAAAACCTTTGTTTTATTTGAATAAAATATTCAAGGGAGATTCCATTTGTTTATTTTTGTTATAACTTAATCCTATTGGAATTGAATAAGTAACTGTAATTTGCAAATGGGTGTCATGGTTTAAATATGCTTGTGTGACGCAGGTATTGAAAATAGTGAAACTCTTTAAAATAAATCAAACCGCAAGTACTCAAAAAGGCTAAACATGAATCAGATTCCAAAAATGACAAAACCATAAGTTAGCTCTCTAGTCAATTTGGGGGTTAGTAAAGGTTATGTCCTTGCTAGACCACTCAAAAGAAATTAAGATGCATTGAAATGGCAATATCTGGTTTCGTGAATATGCGCAAAATGCTCTGTATCCCCAAGCTATCAGTCTCAATAAGATTGAGAAGACTAAAGTGTTATGTGTGGCCTTTATTACTATATAGCTGTGAGACCTGGACATTAAAAGACTATGACATACACACAAAGACGTCATATTCAGGACACATAATACAGGGAATTTGAGCAGCTCCAGGTAATATTAGAAGGAAAGGTAAAAGAGACATAGGACGAAAGAAAAATCTTTGCTACGAAACGTCAGAGATTGGACCTACACAAGAGGAAATGAATTAATTTATCAAGTCCAGAACAGAGAGAAATTTGCCATATTGACCGCCAACAGAGGAGGCACTTAGGAGGAGGAGGATGTCGTTGTTAATTCAGTAATTCGCCCAGTAAATTATGTAGAGAAATTTTTGTCATAATAGATGATGAGCAATGGCCAGTTATCATATAAATAATTATGGTTACATGTCTCTTAGTGATATATGGGAATCTATGGAACCATGGAGCTGGGTGGATATGCTTATTAATTTTGAAATTATTTTTATATCCTTCAGACAACTTAACCGACACTGTATCAGGTCCTATTTTTAGTTATAATTGCTAGCTCCACACTTCTGTTCATGCTTGTAATGTCTCTTTGGATGTATTACCCTAGACGTTAGCTTATTTTATAAATTGTAAGATAGTTGAGGAGACGCACGAAAAAAGTATCATTAAAAATAGGACACAAAAAGTAAAGAAAATTTTTAAGACCGATAAGAAGTAATCCTGATTTTTTAAGATCAATCTAAAATTATTTTGAATCATCACAACTTTCGGAAAATAAATTTTGCCATACCATATGTGGCCTAATTAGATCATAGAAAGCCAATAGATACAAACGGATTTAAAGAGTTATATAAAAGAAAAATATGAAGTATCTAATGTAACAAAATTAAAGAAAATATACATGAAAAATACATTTTTTTATTAGGACACAATATTTTTCCAATTATTTTTTTTTGACATTTGTCATTTCTGTCGTCTGTCAACCTTGATTGGTCAATTCAATATTCCCATTCCCATGGTTAAATGTCAAAATTTGTCTAAATCGACATCCTGCTGCCTGATTTGGGATAATCAAATAACAGTTTTTGTAATGTTAATTTATTAATGATCGTTATAGTGATACAAAGTAGAAAGCAATAAGTATTAGCCAAGCAACATACGTAATAAGGTAGTCGAAACATAGGAATTACGAATAGTGTCAGTAAAATAAGGTGAGTGTGATCTTTATTTACACTTTTCGCCATGAAGCCTTTCACTGCATCCAACTGCAATAATTTTTCAATTTATTGTATTTAGGTCGAAATAAAATTAAAATGAAAAACGAAACAGTAGAAGATGAAGATGTCGATGTATATCAACTCATTCTAAAATTAAGACATGAAACACTACTTGTTAGGACTGAGAAACGCAAAATTGAAGATTTAAATAGGATACTTAGTGAGAAAACACATGAAATCATAAGGGACTCATGGATTACAACGAAGCAGCGCTTACTTTTGTACCAAAGGGAAAGCACTATTCATAATTACCAAAAAGTTGATCATTTGCTTAAATCTGAATTCATTGATGCTAAACAAAGGATAGGATTTCAAGTAAGTACTCCCCCAGATAAAAGTGTTACATCGTAATGTAAGTCCTTAAATACACATTTATTCTCTTTTTAATGGTGTTATGCATTTCCAGATGTAGAATTCTTTTTTGAGATACTCCAGATCTGTCTTCTGTATCCTCCCTAGTTTTTGTTGCTGATGATTTTTGGTTGCTTACAAACATAATACATATTTTTTTTACTTCCATATGTGTTCTTTCCAATAATATTTGACTGTCAATTCAATTGTTTCTCATTTGATACTAAAATAAGTAATTATTGCTGTTATTATGTCCTCATTATTGAGTATTTTTACCTTTTTTTTGTTAATTTTAGTATAATTTATAACTTTATTTTTAGACAACCATAAAATTAGGAAATCTATTGCAAGTTTTGAGGTCTCAACCTGTTCAGTTAGCTAAATGGTTAATAGCAGGAGAACAGTTGGATGAAGCACAGTCATACTCATTTTTTCTAGAGAATATCATAGTAGGTTTGTATGGCTGTCTATTGTTTTCCGAAGACATAAAGTACATGCTGTCTTTGCTTTATGAGGTTGCCAAACTGCAGTTATTGAACTGTGAGGATCCCAGAAGGTAAATAAATAGATTTTGAAAATACTGTTTTTCTATTTGAAATTTTTATTTTTAGTTTATTATAATAAAAACAAACAATAGTAGTGACAAAATAGATAGAAATAATCACTTTAAGTGGTATTAATGAATTGATTAAATGAATGTTAATTAGTTTTGGCATTTTTTATCTTATTTAATGTGATAGTTTTAAAATAACTGTTTAATTTTCAATATGAAAGATGATATGTGGTATTTGTTTACTCATTCATTGTATGACCTTCCTGGTGTTGATAAACCAGGTCTGTTTTTAATTAAACAAAAATTTATGGGAAATTCTATTATGATACATACAAGTATATAAAAGTTTATTACTTAACAGTGTACATTTTTTAGCATTGTTGTTAAACATGGTATGTTAATTGAATCATATAAATAAGGAAATAAGGTAGAAATATTTCAATTAAACAGGTTAGACTTTTGAATAAAATTGTTTTATTATCTAGAACAAATACAATTGATATAAATGAAAAGTAATAAGATGTATCAGAGGAAGAAAACATTCTTTTTCTTCAATACAAACAAGAAAATGCACCAGAATATTAAAAAATAGTCCAATGAGTTTCTTTTTTTTATACCAAAAGAAACCTATGTATTCAATTTCAAGACTCTAGAACTTTCCTTTCAAAAGAAAGAACAGTCATAGGAATATTAGAAGTAAAAGATATGTTGAATACAAATATAGATTGATTTAAGAAGAAAACAGTGTTGAACACAAATTAATTAAGGTTCTTCTTTATATCAAGAGGAACCTATGTACCAAGCTTCAAGATTATAGGACTATTCCTTCAAGAAAAAGAAAAGACAAATAAATAAATTATGCAAAAATGATTTAGGCCACATCAATATTTTAAAAGAGTGATACAGTTAAAATTTTAACCCACAATATCTGAATATTCAAGTTACAATTATGCAAAAAACATTTTACCCTCAATTCAAGCTAAAAACCACTCACTGCATAGTCAGCCATTTCAAGTTTATTTTGCAATAAACACTCAATCTTGTATCAACCCACATTGATGCCATAACAGTTAAACAGAACATTAGAGAATCATCATAATCTTCTCTTATTTGATTAATAGTTTTATAATATTAAACCTGATATATTAAAAAGACCTAAACCAGATGGAAGATGGTAAAACTTTCCTAATAATAAAAAGTCCTAATAATAACATTTTATTTACTGTACTTTAAAGTGAACATCATAGGACGGTACATCAAAGGTCACATCATGGACAGAACATGTAACAAACAACGAAGTCATGAGAAGAATCAACAAAATACCTGGGGCATGTTATGTGTAATGAGAGATACAACCTACTTTAATTGATTATACAAGGAAAAATCCAGGGCAAAAGAAGTGTAGGAAGGAGAAGAATCTCATGGTTGCGTAACTTGAGGGAATGGTACGTACGGATGCACATCAATTGAACTATTCAGAGCAGCAGCATCTAAGATCAGAATAGTCATGATGATTGCCAACCTCTGTCACAGAAATGGCACGTGAAGAAGAAGAAAGTGAACATAAAGCTGGGAGAGAAACACAAGAAGTGTAATTCTGTTTAAAGTACATAAAAGATCATATTAATCCACCTGTTAAAAACTTTACTCTGTGGTCAGACTTTTGTGGTGATCAAAACAGCAGTATCAATTGTGTACTTTTAATAATGCACACATTGTATAACCATCCATCTCTAGATTCTATCACTTGACGATTCTTACTACCACTACATAAATTTCTGTCCAATGATTAAGAATTTAGGGATGTTGAGTGCTATCTAAAGATTCATTAGCACTTATAAACTGATGTATACTACATTAATGTTACGAAATAATGTAGGAGAACAAAAGAAATTGTTGTTAACAAAATAGAAAAAGGAGAAATTATTTTAATTGACAAACTATTGGAATATATCACGGGGAAAGTTGACTCAGAGAAAGAGAAAGTAAGTTGGGTCAAGGATCATGAAATCAAGTTTTAGGTGTGAGTTTTTCTTGCTCTACATGAAACCAAACACAACAGAAGAAAACATACAGATAGTAGTTATAGGGAGTTGGATCAGTAGTTATGGCCAACAGATAAACCATTATCCAAAGAAAAAATTAAAGATCTAAAACCATTTTATAATTTCTTAAAAACAGCTAAACTTTATCGATGATGTTGATGGTTTTGGAGTTGAAAAAGTAGGATCAATGAACAGAATTAAAATTATTTTTAAATTATATTAAAATTTTTAATTATCAAATATTTTGTCCTATATTTGGTATTCAAAAAACATGTTTTATAATTTTATAATTGTAGGTTATACAGTCCTTAAAAAACTTGCTTTCTTATATGTCCTAAAAAGCAAAAATGATTTATCCAACATTTTATTTTTTTTTACAATCTTTTTAAATTATTTTGAAAACGTAGGTAATTCCAAATTTTACTGATATAATTGTATATCACAGGTATACTATAATAAAACAAGTGATTTGCAACATATTATAGACTTGAAGCTATTTATCTCAAAATTGTGTGGGGTGACTCTTTTTATAACACCATCCATTTAGTAAATGGATTTTACACAGTATGTGATTTGTTTTTTCTTCTACTAATTTTTTTTATTTGGTGTTACACCTCTGTAGTTGAAAGATTTCCATATTTTCACCATAGTTTGTTTCTTTTTTCAATTAGTACTGAGCCTTTTGGAAAAGTTTCCCAGCATTTGTGCCATTAACCTTGTTTAGTGAATGCTTTGGTTGTATATTTTTATTATTTTCTCTTTCTTATAAATTCTTCATTTTATTACCTTTATTTTCCATAAATAATTGAAGTGTCCAATTTTTTTTGTCAGTTTCTCGGTATTCTTCTTTATGGTTTTAATAATGAAAAGAAGGACGAGAAAATGTGGAGGAAGAATGTTCAGAAATACAGTGGGTGATCTAATTATTATAACCACCCCATAATATTTAGCTTTTTGTTTAATAATTTTATGTTCTTGAACTATAAAACACATTTTTGTGTTTATTTTTATTTTACTATGATTTGGCATTTTAAGACTACCTGGTTCATTACAGTTTTGTGCATTTTTATTAAGCACTCGATCAGCTGATGCATTTTGTTTATAATCACATTAAATATTTCTTTCTTCACCAGCTTCCAAAGATTTTCCATTGGATTTAAGTCTGGCGAAATGCCAGGCCACTCTAGCCCCTTTATCTGATTGTCACTGAGGAATTTTGTAGTTTTTGCCTTGAAACTTGAAATGAGACTTTTATTCATTTTCATAGGGAAGCATTTTTTTTGCACTATTCTCCTTTGCACAAGTACTGGTCCTGTCACATTGTTTCGTCAACAATGTAGCGTCTACCAGTTTCTTGACTGTTTATGATGGACTACACCATGACACTCAGGGGATGTTTTACCATTCTTTCAATACAATCGTCTTTGTATTTTCCTCAGGTCTTATCCTCACAAATTCAGTTCTATCCATGAAGATCTGCACAGTAGATTCATCAGAAAAACAAACCATTAATATCATTATTTTAGAATCCTGGACAAAATGATCAATTGTAAACTACATAAAAAAAACAATGCTAAGTAATTATTTACATGCTTCCAATCATCCATGGCCCAATATTTGTAATAAGTTTAACACAATAAAGCCTTTTTTTTTTCATGACTGGTACAAGCAGTGGTTTTTCATTACAATCCTGCAAAGTTGTTTCTATTGTCCAGTGGTGTAATTTTTTTTTCAACCACAATTTTGTTTGCGTTATGGGATCAAACCCAAATTTTCAACCAATAGGAATTTTTGCATTGAAGTGTAGTAATGAATGAAACAAGAATCCATCACTTCACTCCGAAGTCAAATCAGTAGTCAACTGAATGGACAGAGATGCTAATATTAAAAGTCTTTTAAAGAGATGCCACTATTATCTGGCAAGACTATGGCTTCTGTACAGATGGTTCATCGTGTTCCTTAAGAATCGATAGTGGATATTATACATATGGCGTTATTGATTAATTTGAAGGATGGAATTCCAAAAAAAATCACAAATAAAGAAGTAAAAAGTACTGGTTCAAAAGTTTGCTCTTATTTTTCAGAATCATAAAGCAAAGAACATGCTCCTTTAAACATCTTTACTTTCTGTTCCACGAAGTATTACAATCTGCAAAATTTTTCCTGAGCGCTGCTATGGAGATACCTATAGTCCAGATGATGTCATATACAGATTATTATCTAGATCTAGATCCAGAAAAGACAGTTATGAGGTAAGTTCGTGTATTTCATGCTCAAAACTCGTCTAATTTTGTTTTCAAATTCCATTGTAGATTTAAGCAGGATGATAACGAAGTTACCAATATTTTTAAAGATGTAGATGAGTATAGAAGTGAAGTCGTAGCCAGATTAGTGGAATTTACCAATACTTTCATATCTTCGCTTTTAGAAAATGTTTATAGCTTTCCGAAGTCAATTTCTTGGTTAGTATCTCGAATAGCGAAGATCATTGAGAAGTCTTTTAGTGCCAAACAGGTAATTAATAAAAAACATTAATGTAAAAACAATTCAAGCTTAATAAATATCCATTTTAGGCGAACGCCATAATAACAGAACTTATTTTCAACCTCTACATATGCCCAGTAATAGTAGACCCTGAACAGTACGGCATATGTAACTCCCAAGTAACTGAAATCACTAGACACAACCTCATTCAGGTGTGTCAAATTCTCCAATCTCTAGCTTTACGCAAATACGAACCTATCGATTCCAGATACTCGGATGTATTCGATTTGTTGGACAAAAACCGCGTATGTAATTTCATTGAGCTGTTGTTTTTCGATATGGACTGCGAAGATCCGCCCATAGATACGTCTCCGAGTCTTTCGAGAGATATAATGTTGTTTACTGAAGCCGAGCTCAACAATATGGTAAGTAAAATCCTCTTGTACCCTATTATCATCAATTTGTCACTATAACATGCAATATATCAAATCGCGATTCTTTAATATATCTTCTAGACCAATTCAATTTGGCTGTTTAGATTCAAATTGAGATTTTTCCAGTCTGTCCTACAGTAAATTTCTAGAATTTAGGTTTTCTAAAACCTCTTAAAACCACAAAACATTATACATGAAGATGACATTGAAACGGTTGGAAAGTTTACATACCTGGGAGTAGAAATATATGCCGATGGAGCAGAGGATGGAGAAATACGAAAAAGGATAACGCAGGCAAACAAAGCTTATTTTGCCCTCTCCCATATATTTCGGTCTAAAAGTGTCCACCGAAATACAAAGATGAGAATATATAAAACTTTAATTCAGCCAATAGCATGTTATGGCAGCGAAGCATGGGTCCTGAAAGAAACATCCAAAAACAAACTCGACACATTCGAAAGAAAAGTACTGAGGAGAATACTAGGACCTGTGAGGGAAAACTGAATCTTCAGAATTCGATATAACAACGAGCTCTATCAACTGTATAAGGAAACACCCCTGTCAAACTTCATTAGAATACAAAAATTGCAATGGGCCGGACATTTGATACGAATGGGAGAGGATAGGCTACCAAAACGAGCACTGAACGCCAGAATGCAGGGAAAGAGACCAGTTGGAAAGCCAAGAAAGCGCTGGGAAGACACAGTAAGCAGCGACGCACAAGCACTTTTAGGAGTCCGTGTATGGAGAAGAGCAGCCACAGACAGACAAGGGTGGAGGCAAAAAATAAAGGAGGCCAAGGCTCATTTTGGGCTGTAGTGCCGTAGAAGAAGAAGAAAACCTCTTGGTTCTTCTTAATCTACAAAATTTTTATCAGTCCATTATTCAGGATATTAAATTCTTTATTCTGTCTTCCAAACATCTTATCCTCCAACTTTAGTGTCTAGATCATCATTCCTTATTATTTTCTGGTTTAATCTATACTAAATGTTCTTTATAATCTCTAATACCCTTTTAAATCACCACTACCATTTTAAACCATCTCTTCATCTTATTTTGACTGAAATATTCTTAAACATTCTTTAAATTTCCTTTTAAGGTACCACTTTTTAGTTTCTTTAAACCTATTCAATATATATTTTTAAATGCAGCTTTAGATCTTTGTCTATAGATCTATCTAGCATTTTTCGAGCAGTTTATCTATGATTCTTTTTAGATACTATTACAAGATCACCAATTTTTTACAGTATAATTTTGTTTGTATAAAAAAGATTATTAAAGCTGCTCTCCTTAAAGCCCTTGGCTTTAAGGAGAGTAGCCACTCTCCTAGCCATATTTATGTATCTGGCTGCTATTTAATTTAACTGTTCATTATAGTTTCAATGACAAATGATTCTCTCTATTTACTGAATTTTGTTTGTTATTACTTCCTCGCTCAATTTCCTTTTTAGGAACTCTCAGACATTTTCAATAGGGGTCGTGTCTGGTGAGTTGCTGGGCTATAGTAATAGAGGAATTTCTTGCCACATCAAAAAAACTTTCAATGGTATTAGCCGCACGACAAGATTCTCCATCCTGCATAAAGCTGTTGCAACCATTACTAAGCCATTCGATCATTTGTGGAACCAATCATGTCTGCAAGACTCTTTTATACTGGATCTGTTGCATGGTTACTTTTACGTCATATAAACGTCCCATTCCTTTCCCACCCATTACAGTTTTTATTACATATCCCTTCTCATTTTTTCGCTTGGATGTCTTCGGATAAAGTGGGCCTTATCATCCATAATATGAAATGTTGGTTCATCACCAAAGCAAACCTGGAAATGTGAATAAAAATTACAAAGTATTATACCAGAGAGGATCTGTGAAAAAACAACTACATTTGGATGTGAGAGGTGGCATTCTGATTTTTGCAAAAAAACTTGATAAAAAACCTGTCAAATAGGTTGGGAATATTAATAAAAATGAATCGTTTTGCAGTTATAAGCAAGGAAAGTAAAGAAAAACGGTGTTTTGATGATTTTTAGTAATTTTTAAATATTTTAGTTTTTTTTATTAATATTCTTGGCCTATTTGAGAGGGAGAGGGAAAGTTTATTATTATTATTGAAGTTAACACAATTTTTTTTCTGCAAAAATCAGAATGCCACTTCTCACATTCACCTAAAAACAGATCCGCCCTGGATTGTGTGGAAGCACAATTATCTTACTTTTTGTAAATCATTAATAGTTCAGTCTTTATGCAAATTAGCCTGAGTTAAGCTTTTCTTGAGCATCTGTGGTGTGAATTTTTGTTTCTTATCAGGCATGCGACATTTAAACTCCATGCTGTACAAATTTCGCCATATGTACAGTGGCCACCGATACTGAATACCTTACTTCTTTCAATTTATTCCTTATATCTCCATGGGTGGCTGTTATATGCTTTACAGCCACATTCTTTAAAATTCATTGTCCACAACGAAAGTTGTTGTCTTCTGTCTGCCACACAGACCCTTCCGAACCGACGTTTCTCTTTTTTGAAGTTTTTGACTCAACCTTCCAACTGACGAGTGAGATACACCATATTTTCTTGCTATTTCTCTCTTACTATCTAGTATTTTCTAAAAGAGAGCAACCACAGAAGAGATTTAAAAAGAGTTTTATTTAAAAATCCTTTATAAAAGGTATATAATTAAAAATACCCTTTCGGGCTACATCACAGAACGTTTTTGGACTAAAGAGTCCATCATCAGGATAATATTACCAGGTATACATGAGTCAAGCCACTAAATGGCTAAAAACCCTTAAAAAGTTACAAAATTTGCTTTGTATTACATGATTGTTGAAAAGATGTTGTGATGTTAAAGTATATTATACAGATACCCTGCATGGCAACGTAAGACCCTCAATAGGGGTTGTTGCTGACTCTCAGACCTTGTCCGAATTGCAGCTGTGGTGTAGAAGCGATTTACTCAGCAGAACAGTTCATTACCAATCACTAATTTAAATAACAACCTAAAGTTAGAAAAAGTCGAGTTACTGCACAGTTTTAGCACATTTTGTTGCCATCTGTCAAGTTTTGACAATTCAATCAAAAAGTTCCACCATTTTTAACATAATTATGTGGCATGATTATTCACCAATTGCTATGCAACCCATTCAGCACCACTGTGTCACTGTGAAGATACTTTTATGCCGCTTAATATTCAAAAAACTGAAATTTCTAGGGTGAGTTTAATAATTTTGAGCAAGGACTGTAGATCACTGTACTCCATTCCTTGTACTTTGTACATTTTCGATGTATGCCATTAATTGTGAGGACATATTCTTGTTAAAGACTAAAATTTCTTGGGGACTTCTTACATCTTCCTTATGATCTTTTTGGTTTTAGATCACGATTTTGCAAAAAATCCAGCTTAAGCAAAAGTCCAACGACAATTTCATCAAAGATTTATCTATAGAGGAACAGTTGTCATCGCTTAGCATATCTGCCGATAATTCACCAAAATCGAACCGAGCAATGAATGAAGAAAACGTTTCAAAACTAACAAATTTCTTTACATTAGGCAACAACAATTCAGGTAAGACTACAGTACATATTTTATTTCGGCTGTTTACTTATTTTGAGTATTTTAGGTTCAAAAAATCAGGCTTCTTCGTTGGTTACGGACTCTCCTAGGAACCATAGCAATCATAGTACTACTGTACTCGTTTTCCCCATAGATCAGGCTCAAATAGAACCCATCGGTCTTATATCTGAAGAGAAAATCATAGAAGCCAGTCTCCCTTTGAAGAATGGCGATGTTTTTGATGGGACTCTTCAGAAAGACGATGCTGCTGTCATGCCAGAAACTCCACCCACAAATGGAGATTTAAAACAAGTAAATATTCTACATATTTATAGTCCTCTTATAATTTTACATTGATCTATATTCTAGTCGTTTACATTTCACGATGAGGGATCCATCGGGAATACTTCAGATAATTTAGAAGCTATATCGGAAGCAGCTAGCAACCACTCTGTTGACAGCAGCATTGAACTGGAGAATGAAGATCAAAACGACAATCTGTCAGACATGGTGTCCGCCAACGTATCTGGTAGGTTTCTCTATCTAAAATATGAATATTTTTCCTTATGAATATTTTTCTTGCAGGCCGAGGCACACCGAACATATCAGGTCGTGATACCCCCAGCTCACAAGTGTGCGAGAACGATGAACGGGCCTTGGCGGAACCTCGACCGGTCGATGTAGCCCAAACGCAACCTAACCTCAATCTCAATAGGCAAATCCGTTCCGAAATCGATGATAAATTTTGCAAATTCGAGATCAAAAAACTTCTTGAAGGTGAGTACTACATACAATAGAAGTTATTTGTGTGTATGAACTTTAGTTTCGCTAATGAGTTAGGTGGTTATAAAATTACGTGAATATAAAATTTATATAAATATATATATATATATATATATATATATATATATATATATATATAACAATTTATTGTTTTGGAGTATCAGGTATGCGGTCTGTTATTAAAAAAAAAACTCTTTTTTCTCTTATTACTCTATATTTCGCTGATTTTTATCAGCTTCTTCAGGAGATAACTAAAATATGGTTAAAATTTTATATACATAACAGGTGATAATAAACAATGAATTTATTTACAGATTAAGAGTTAAAATATTTAAACATGTTGAACATAATATACATATTCAAAACAGTACTGACAGTATTAGTTGAAAGCACCTAGTCACTAGTAATTAAATATAACAAAAAATATATATAATAAATAGAAAACAAAAACAATCAAGAAACAATAAAAACACAATAAAATTACACATTAAAAATATACAGGGTGATTTAAAATATAATTGTAAAAAGAAAAATTATTTGAACATACTAAGAATATTACAGTAGATATTGCTCAACTGTCCCGTATCTGCCTTATAATTAACTGCATATTTTTCTTTATTAATGTGACACATTTCTAAAAACAATCTTTTTTTGTAATTGTTCTCTTGTTGTAGAACCCTGACATTTGAATAGTCAAATTGATGCCCAGTTTTTAGGTAATGGTCAACTGCCGCACATGTATTCTTCTTTTTTGTGCAGTCACTTTTGTGTTGTGTGACCCGTTGTTTTAGCCATTGAGAAGTTTGGCCAACATAACAGCGCTGGCAATCCAAACAAGGCAGTTTGTAGATGACATTAGTTTTATTTGCAGTTGGTGTCTTGTCTTTTACTTTAGAAAACAGTTGTCGGTTTTCTAATACATTATATTGGACAATTTTGATGTTAGTAAATTGTTTAAATAAACTAGTCACAGAAGGTGTCAACTGTTTTATTAATGGTAATTTTTTATATTGGATTGTTTGTACTGCTCCGATATAAGTGGGACCGTCAAAAATGTCTGAGTTAAATATTAATTTTTTAAGGATATGTTTTGGGTATCCATTATTTTCAAAAATGTTTAAAAGCAAATTTAAGTTTCTGTTTATGAATTTTTCATCACTAATATGCCTTACCCTATTCTTCATTGCAATCACTGTATTAAACTTTTGATGAGTGGGTGCTCTTATATATATATATATATATATATAGTATATATATATTATATATATATATTATATAAATGATTGATAGGGAAATAACTCTTCTATTCACAATCTGTAATAGGTTTTATTAAAGTGTTAAAAAAAGCTCTTGAAAATAAGCAAAACATTAACAATCCCTGTACTAACAGAGCTATTTAATAGATGTCTCCATAATAGCCAGATCCCTAAAGACTGGAACGAGAGTCTAGTAATACTCTTACACAAAAAAGGGGACAAATGTGATCTACAGAATTATAGACCTATATCGTTGCTCAGTCAAGTATACAAACTATTTATGAGAATTATTAATAACCGGTTAACCTACAAAATGGATAATTACCAACCGGTTGAACAGGCTGGCTTCCGCAAAGGATATAGTACATCAGACCATCTGCTGACAATGAGAACATTGATAGAGAAGGCAAATGAATACCAACTACCCGTATTTCTTGCCTTCGTCGACTATGAAAAGGCGTTTGATAGTATCGAGATGTGGGCCATAGAACAAGCTATTAATAATTGTAGAATAGATTCGAGATATAGGCAACTAATACATAATATATATGAAAATGCAACTATGGTAGTACAACTAGACGAAAATACAAATCCCATCCCCATTAAGAGAGGAGTGAGACAAGGAGACGTAATATCGCCAAAGCTTTTCAACCTAGCCCTAGAAGACGTCTTCAAAACTACAAATTGGTCAACCTATGGCATTAACGTTAATGGCAACAAGTTAAACCACCTCAGATTCGCTGACGACATAGTGATTTTAGCGAGCACATTCGAGGAACTGCAAATTATGTTGGGGGAACTAGCAGCCAGCTCCCAATACGTCGGCCTAAAAATGAATATGAAAAAAAAAAAAACAAAAATAATGACAAACACAGAAGACCCCAGACATATAACTATAAACGGCAGTGAGATAGAACAAATCCAGGAATATATCTACCTAGGCAAATCCTGAGACTTGACAAAGAGGGTCTTTGCCTGTCTGGCTATGTCCTTCCATTCAGATCTCTCTTGTGCCCTTCTTCTCCATTGTCTTATGTTCATTGTTTTCAGGTCGTCTTCCACGTCATCCAACCATCTCGTTCTGGGCCTTCCTTTTTTTCGCCTTCCTATGGGCTTCCATTGTAACATTTTCTTTGTTGTTTTTGCATCGTTTTGTCTCTGCACATGTCCCAGCCATGACAGTCTTTGACTTTTCACAAATCTTACAATGTCATAACCTTCATTTAACTCATTAACCTCGTCGTTTCTCCTGATTCTCCATGTGCCATCTTCCTCTTGTACCGGGCCATATACTTTCCTCAGTATTTTTCTCTCGAATGTCCTGAGTTGGGCTTCATCTTTTTTTCGTCATTACCCAAGTTTCACATCCATAGGTTACTACGGGTCTAATCAGTGTTCTGTAGATAGTCATTTTGGTTCTTTTGTCTAATAATTTCGATGTCATCAATCTTTTATTAGCATAGTATGTACGATTCCCGCTGGAAATACGTGCATTAATTTCGCTACTTACGGAGTTCTTCTGATTGATTTCTGTGCCGAGATATGTAAAGGCATCCACTCGTTCGATAGTATAGTTGTCTATTGTGATATTATTTTCATTGTCAGTTATTCTTTTGACTGTCATATACTTCGTTTTTGCTTCGTTTATTTTGAGACCTCTTTTTCTTGCTTCAGGATCAATTTGTTTGAACACTTCCATTAGTCGTGGCTTATTCCTACTAATGATGGCTACATCGTCTGCATATGCAGTAATTTGTACTGATTTGGTGTTTATATGGCCGGTTATATTGGTTTTTCTGATGACTGCCTCAAGAACTAGGTTGAATAGCATGGTTGATAGGGCATCTCCCTGTCTTACTCCCATGTTGATGTTAAACAGGGGAGTCAGTTCTCCATCTACTCTGACTGCGGCTTTTGAACCCTGCAACGTCATTTTTATGAGGCTGATGTATTTCTTAGGTATACCTAGATTACAAAGGTCTTCCAGCATTCTGTCTCTTTTCACACTATCAAAAGCTTGTTTAAAGTCTATATACATATTATATAGGTCTATGTCGTATTCATAAGCTTTTTCTTGTATCGTTCTTAGTATGAATATGTTATCTGTAGTGGCTCTATTTGGTCTGAATCCATTTTGATAATCACCAATTATATTTTCGGAGTATTCTAATAATCTATTGTAGATTATACCAGAAAGAATTTTGTATATTACATTTAGCAATGTAATTGGCCTATAATTCTGGCATTCCCTCTTATCTCCTTTTTTATATATTGGCTGTATGAGGCCAACTGTCCATTCCTCTGGCATTTGCTCCTTCGTCCATATTAATGTTATTAGGTAATGGATTCTTTCCCAGAGTTCGGATCCTCCATGCTTTAATAATTCTGCCGAAATTCCGTCCGTTCCTGGTGCTTTATTGTTTTTTAGTTTATTTATTATCTGAACTACTTCTTCATAACTCGGATTTTCGATGTGCAGCTCCGCCGTATAATATATTGTCTCGTTCTGATCATTTTCGTTGTCTGCATTTAGATTTTCTTCGAAATATTGTTTCCATCTCATTATAATTTTTTGCTTCTCTGTTAGTAGTTCTCCGTCCTTGTCTTTGCATATCGTTAGTTTTGGTCTAAATGACTGTGTGCTTTCTTTTATGCATTTATAGAATTTTCTGCTTTCGCGTCTGTTGTTATGCTTTACGATTTCTTGTACTTGTTTTTTCATAGCCTCTCTTTTCTTTCTTCTGCATATTCTAGTCGCTTGTATTCTTTTTTCGTTATAAATCTCACTGCTATTTCTTGTGTTTCTTTGAAGTTGGTTAAGCCTAGCTTGCCTTTTTTCCTCTACTGCAGTTCTGCATTCATCATCATACCATTCCGCATTTCTTTGCCTTTTGGCTTTTCCGACAGTTTCCTCTGCTGACTCCGTTATAATTGTTTTTAATTGTCTCCATTCCTCCTCTGCAGTATCTTCCTCTCTAGTTCGGTTGAGTTTTATTTGGAGAGCATTTCTGTAATCTTGTCTCTTTGTTGCGCTTTTGAATCCTTCGACATTCCATTTTTTGATTTGAATATTTTTCCCTTTTGCTACTGTCGCTATTTTCTGCCGTAATTTTGCCCCTACAAGATAGTGATCTGAGTCAGAGTTCGCCCCGCGATACGTTCTGACATTAGTTATGTCTGTTGCCCATCTTTTGAGATGAGTATATGGTCAATTTGATTGGCTTCGTTAGTTCCTGGTATTTTCCATGTTCCTTTATGGATATCTTTTCTCTGGAAGTTAGTACTGACAACTACGTAATTATTTGCTGCTGCGAACTGTGCCACCCTGAGTCCATTTTGACTGGTTTCAGTGTGCAAACTGTGTTTCCCAAATATATTTGCAAACGTTTCTTCTTTCCCCAGTTTAGCATTAAAATCGCCTAACGTTATAACAGCAACGTGTCTTTGGATTTTATCACATACATCCTGTAGTTCTCCGTAGAATCTTTCAACGTCTTCAATTATTACTTTGGTTACTGCAATTCTAATTACGAAGAAGATGATGAATGACTTCATCTGTCATTAATTTGTTGTAAATTTTAAGGTGACGAAACGATTTCTATCATTTCGGAAACTTGGAGCACCGACGTTTTGGCTTCCGACAACGAAACGTTGGATGCTGGAGAATCTAGACACCCCTTACAGTTACCAGAAGCTATCCAAGAAGTGTCCAATATTTTGGATTTGTCCGAAACGCAGAGTGAAAGCGCCTGGTCTACTGATGTAATGACATCGGATACTGAAAGGTTAGTATTGCCTTATTCTCATTAACGTACTACAAACTACCAATCATAAAATTTTGCAGGTTAACTGAAGTCGATAATGACGATTCCATCAGCGTCGCTCAATCCGATGACACGCGATCGGAAACTGACGATACCGCTTGTGGTAGCCGACGCCTTTCTACGTGTTCGAACTCTTTCGTTCCGATCACAACCAATCAGAACTACGTCTCTAGCGTTACCGTCCAGAATATGAGCTTCTTACCACCCGCTAACGGTCCAACTGCTGTCGTGAGCGCCAAAAACAAATACGTGGTAACTTCTGCGTCGTCTACTTCGAATTTTCAAGTAAGTAAATTATGTGTATCTTAATAAGACTGTATAAAATATTGTTATATTTTTATTAGTCCTAATTTATTGTCTTTAATCTAATTCATTGTCTGTATTCTAATTTATTAAAACTCACGTTAATTTATTATCGATTTATTAAATAAAAACTGTACAATTATTTTATTACGTTTCGTACATCTAAATCGCGTTTCGCGAGCGTCTAATTTATTTTCTTACTAACTAACTGTCCGCTCAATAACATGTATTTATATATAAAATGCCGCTATCTTGAAAAGTCTGGAGAGACAGAGATGACTCATTCAGTAGGTCTCGAAAAGTCAATCGCATTCTGGTAAATTCGGAGGGTCACCGTCGACGGCATTCTCAGTAGCTAAACTGGTTTCTTTTAGTCGCCTCGAAGGTTCGATTTGTTGTTTTTATAGCTTCCGTCTCAGGTAGATTTGACCTAGAAATTACGAGAATGAATAAACATATTTACGGTTTTTAATATGACTGTGATTATAATCTTTTACGTAACAATATTTTCATCGCCAGTTAATGTGAAATTTTTGTTTTTGTGTAGGAGTTCAGTAAGGTAGAGATTAAAAATGACATAGTTAACGGAAAAATGTATCAGGAACAGACAGATAATAATGCCAATAGAGTATTTAAAGCTTTAACTTTAGAACAATCTGAATCGTTGGCTGAAAGTAATGAGGTGAAGACCACTATTTACAAAGCTACAGTTGCCAAGAATGGACTAATTGTTAAGGATTCCTACTTAAACAATTTAGCTGGTAAGTTTGTATTTTTAAATATATTGTAGTTTATAGTGTTCTTCCCAACAGATCAGTTTAGACGGTTTATACTTTGATTCCTGTGGAGACTGGAGAAAATCGCCGAATACTCTCTATTTTCTAATGTTTTTTTAATTTAACTGATAACTCTAAGCGATTCCGTTCTTATGTAGGTCCCAGTGGTATGGTAGAACCCGAAAAGAACCACCATAATCGTCCCAACGAAATCCTCTTGAGCAACTGCAGCCTAAACTCCAGCTCTAGCGGCTCCAGCAGTCACAGCTTAGAGAACAAAAACGCCTCCGAGCAATGGGAAAACAAGCAGTGGTTGAACAGCTCGGGCAGCAGCTTGAACGTTACTCTGACACCTTCTGAAAGTACCAGCGAGTTGTCTGTGATGAGTATCGGCAAGAAAGGCGTTGGTAAGTTTGACAAACATTAGATTATTTAGACTCAATACAGAAAGCGAAATCGTTTTATGGGACTTTTACTTTCTAAATTGGGAAAAAAAAGACAATTTTTAAATTCCATGTGGGGACTGTGACAAATTGTACATCGGACAGACCAATTGAAGAATGCGTTTATTTGAAGAATCCGAAGATCTTTTATTTGTTTCCAAATTTCTAGAGACAATACAGCTAATAAAGTACATCCCAGAGGTACTTTTCAGTGCGTCATTAATTATGACGTCATATAATGAATTAGGTGTGTCGAGCATTATTTCATATAATTATTGAAGAATCTGACAGATTCCAGGATCGTACTTAGCCACAGGGAGTAATCCCGTATATTAATAAAAATAAAAAGTAAACAATATTGTTTATTAAATTTATAAATATGGAAACATTCGAAATTGATGACAAAATGATTCATTTATTGAATTTTTGTATCTTCTTCTCAAAGGGCTGTCTGCGCGTCGAAAGTTGGCAATCATCACAGCGATTTTTAATTTTGAGACAGCGGCTCTAAATGAGCCGTTATTACATGGGTTACGTCTCCTTCCTATGGATCTTTTTCCTTTGCATAATGATCTGGAGTATTAGATATTTATCTCCTCTCATCACATGACCCATATATCCCACTATTCAGATTTTAATTGTTAGTACTTCTCTTTCCTTATGCATTCGTCACATTACCTCAACGGTGGTTATTCCATCTATCCATGAGATCTCTAGTACTCTGCGGTACATCCATATCTCGAATGCCTTCAGTCTCCTCACGTGAATTTTCTTCAGTGTCCACGCTTCCATCCCGTATTATAATACGGATAGCACGTATTACATCAGCAGTCGTATTTTAACTTAAGGTTTAAGTTTCTACAGCAGAGAAGCCTTTGTATTCTTGTAAATGCGCTTCTGGCCTGTTTGATTCTGATTCGTATTTCTCGAGAGCTGTCATTGTTTTCATTAATAGTTGTATCTAAGTATTTTAATTCTCTTACTATTTCAATAGACTGATTTTGTACATATATCTCACGAATGTCCTGAGTTGTCTTTGTTATTATCACATATTTCTTGCTCTGTTGAGTGACGGTCCATATTCTTCTTCGCTTACTGCGGTCACCTAATTAAAAGGTATCTGTAGGTCTTCATGTGATTCGGCTAAAAGAACTGTATTCGGCTAACAGAACTAACTGAGATCAGCGTATCTCAGGTTATTTCTGATCATGTCATTAATTCTAATGTCTACGTTTCGTTAATCCATTGCCTTACTTAATATGTCTTCCGAGTATACATATTAAATAATACTGGTGTATGTATACACCCTTGTCGAACAACTCGTTGTACTTCCATTTCTTCTTCTATTCTCACTCACATGCTTTTTGGTCATAGTATAAGTAACACAAAAAGACTGCTTTCAAAAATTTATTAGGTAACTTCTAAATTAATTACATAAATAAAATATAATTCTAATAATACAAACTATTTATTCACTAATGTGTAATAATAATAGTTTATTGACAACACTGAAAAGTAGAATTTGAATATCAGATTAATAGAAAATTATAGAAAAATACTGCTAGTGGAGAGTTTCCTTAAATATATATCCTTAGACAAATTCATGGTGAAATATTTAAGTCATAACCCAGCAAAACATTAATTAGAGAGGAGCCAGTCAGATTTGGATATAAGAATTGGATAATAACTGTTTCCACTGGGTATGATTATGGTTTTCACGTTTGTTGCGAAAAAAAAAAACGAATGATATTGAAGATAATAAAAAAATACCACTTGGAGCTAAAGTAGTAATTGATCTTTTGAAATATAGGCCTAAACCATCTACAAATGAAATTAGATCAGGTCATTGGATGAGGACCTAGGAGTTTCCTGAGTTTACAACGTTTTGAGCAGAGATAAGTATTTATAAATAACAAAGTTTGTTCATCCAGCCGATAATGTCAAAATAGGCAATTCTACAGTTTGTATGTACAAAATTAGACTTTTAGCAGATAAAATTATAGAAAAATACTGCCAGGGGGGATGTTTCCATAAATATATTTCCTTAGACAACTCCATGGTGAAATATTTTGGTTATAACTTAGCTAAAAAGTTAATTAGACAGAAGCCAGTCAGATGTGAATATAAGAATTGGATAATAACTGGTTCCACTGGATATGATTATGGTTTTCAGGTTTGTTGCTGAAAAAAGCAAATGGTACTTAAAAAAGACAACTTGGAGCTAAAATATATTGATATTTTAAAATAATTGCCTGAACCATCTACAAATGAAATTTTTTCGATAAACATTCCATGACATATCAACTAATGAACTGTAAAATATCAAGTAGTGGAGAAAGCTAATGAAGAAAAATGCATATTATTATAGATTTGACAAAACTAATGAAATTTTGTGTGTGAAATGGTATGACAATAGTGTTCTATGTTATCAAATTATTATACCATTGAACCACTAGGTCAAGTAAATACAAAGGTCGCAATATGGTGAAAAAAACTATGTTTTGAAAAATACCATACAAATACCTAATGTCTTCTTTACAGGACGCCCTTGTATTTCAAAATGTTTTTGAAAAAAAAATATTTTTTTGAACATAATAATAAATGTAACCCAAACATCAAAATTGGCGAATCAAACGAAAAACGGTTGAGTATCAGCCAACAAAATCTTCATCTGAATAGTCAGAATCCGATTCATTTAAATCGACAATTACTGGAGCTATGGGGTTTATGTCAATACTTTTGGCAGTCTCCCAATACTCATTAATAAGTTTCTCCGCATGTTTAACATAGTTTTCTCCATTTTTCTGGTGTAACCTAAAATTAGAGCAAAGTTATTACCTAAGAATTAAAAAAAAATATATTAATTTACCTGTTGTAGAGATTGTTTCCAAAGATTTAAAACTGTGGCTTCATTTGTAACACCAGCAGAAGTTATATTTGCATCGTAATACCTTTTGCAATCAGACCAAACGTTCTCTATCGGATTAAATTGACAATGGTATGGAGGGAGTCTCAAGACCCGATGGCCATATTGAAGGGCTAGTCTATCTAATCTGTAAAACAAAATACATAAAAATACCATTTAATAAATAAATTCTAATACATACTTAAATATTTTATCTGGTAAATGCTTCTTTACAATAGCCATTAACTCAAACTTCATCATAGATGTTGAATATTTGATATTTCGGTTTGTCAACCATTCCAATAAAGAATGTTTGGTCCAACTTGCATTTGGAATTTTTTCAACTAAAGTGGAATGGTACGATGCATTGTCCATTATAATCAACGAAGGTTCTTCTAAGTTTGGTAAAAGCTGATGCACAAACCATTTTTCAAAATTATCTGAATTCATCGAATCATGATAGTCACCAGATTTACTTCCACTTTTGAAAATGAGTTCACAGTTATTAATAAACCCATTTTCAGAACCTGCATGAAGGACAATGTATCGTACACCTTCTCCACTCTTCTTTCGGACTGCATAACTACTGCCATCTTGCCAGCTCTTCCGGAATCCTCCTTTACTAAATATCCATGTCTCATCCAGGAAAACTGGTTTAAAAGGGTATCCATCCATTTCATTCTCTTTGTATGCTTTTAAGAATTGGAGTCTTTTGAATGTAACATGTGCTTGCTCCATTAAATACTTCCTGTTTGAAATATTACAATTCACCCATCTGAATTGTAATACTTTTAAAACTCGCTGAAGTGCAGAAATAGAAATTTTATCCTCATCCACTTCCTCAAGCTTTTGTTGTAAAGTATAGAGAGTTACATGCTCACCTAAAACGAACAAAGAAAAATTAATAAGACACTATAGTAATTCTTCTAGAAACAATATTTGGAATGTAAAGTAACATATTAATTGTAACATTTGGAATTTATCTATTTAAATGGTATATGCAACAAACAGTACTCCGTTCATAAATCGTAGTAAGCATATTTAAATAATTCAAAGTGTAAGATTTATGAAAATAGATCTATATATTTTCCTAAAATCTATGATGTAAATGGACAAACTTCAGCAAAAAGGATTTAAATCTTTATTACAATATTGTAAGTAAGTTTACCCATTTACCACAGAAGTTTGGTACTTATATCAGTAGTATTCTTTTTATTATCACTTTTTACTTCTATATATTTTATATATTATGTAACTAGTTGTCAGTAAGAATTTTTAAAAAAAATGTATCTGAAAAGTTAGTTGCTCCTGCCTACATAACAGAAATATGATAAAATATTTTAACTCTATTATTATTAATTACAAATTGTGGCTAATAATTGTGTAATGTGTAATTATATCTGTGGCTTCGAATAAAAGGGCGGATGTCAATTTTTCTGGATTTTAGGTTAATATCATTTCTATAGTAAGGTCATGAGATAGTTTCATTTAAAAAAATCAGATGTCCATATCTTTAAGGCTTTTACCTTTTTCAAAACATAAAGGTGTAAATAGATAAAATAAGGATAAGTAGTTTAATTACCATTAATAAACAGAAATACAACAATCATATGGTTCTTCTACAATGGGTGAATGAGAAACATTAAGTTTCCGTTTATTTTATATTATTTATAATATTTCTAGCATACAAATTGTTTCAAACATAGTAATATTCCAATATTAACTTAAGTATAATTGATGTGTATTGAGTAATAAGCTTATAAACTACAATCAAAAGTGGTTACTATGTGGCCAAATACAAACAATGGCTGATTACTGGAGTTTATATGTTGTGTTTTCATTCCAAGCGACAGATATATATGTATATGTACATAGAGACTTTAACTTACCTTTACTAAACATTTCGTATATACGAGTCCTAATGGTATGTTGGTATTTATTTAAAATCAAGTTGGGTTCACAACTAGTGGCTACTGATTCGCTTACTTTATTGGTATAATCAGAATCTTTTTGTATTCCTTCATTTGCTAATCGCCTTATGGTTGGCAAAGAAATTTCT